GATTGTGCGGATAGCGAAAAGCAAATAAATAACAATATGTTCATTTAAGTGTACAGAAACGTTACCGTTGTTCTGGCAAGGATCTTATTTTTACTTTAAGGAATGCTTTTTAGGTAATTTTCGGATTATCTATGTAATTTTCCCATTACCTAGGTAATATTTCGTCATTCTAAGCCTGCGATTTCCAATTTTTTCCGACTATGGAATCCTTAATTATCCATCTGTTTTCTAACGGAACCCTGTTTCTTAATGAATAAATTTCAATAGCAATTATGATTTTAGTAATTTAACGAAGTACTACTAAATATTTAGAAAATAATTAGTAAATTTTATACTTTTATTTTGAAAATATTTAATAAATTTAATATTTTTATTTTGAAAATATTTAATGACTGCATGAAGTACGAAATTTTTTAATCCTATCGTTCGTATCAATACTAGTTTTAAAATTTGGTTTTATGTCTGAAAGTCGATTTACATGTCTGGAGCAGCATATAATCTAATTCATAATTTAGTTTTAGTGTGTGCATAAACTGAAAATGAAGGAGCTGAATAATAGTTTTCGTTCGAATAAAAATTAAAAACAGAGTAAATAAATTCTGAGAAACATTCTTCTTCATTGTTATTTTTATTTGATATGAAATACTGATGCAATTTTCCATAAATACACATATTTTTATTATAAGATACATTTCATAATTTAACTTTTCTTTCTTCACAAGTATTTTAATTGAATAACTTCATAAAAATAACGGAAAAGTTAAATTAGTAATGGATAATTAATTAAATATATATTTAATAACAGGTTTAAAAAATAGTAACTAATTGAAAATCTTCTAAGTCTCGGAACCCTAGTGACGGAACTCTAGGGTTCCCTCCCCCTCCACGGAACTCTAGGGTTCCGAGGAACACCATTTGGAAACCAATGCTCCAAGAGATCACCCTAGTTAATCTGTACATTTGCTAGAAAAGTGATAGAATGTGTCATTTCTAAAATTTAACAATAACATTAAAGCAGATTTATTTCCACTGATTTAGTTCCCCGTTCTATTATGATAAAATTTAATTCTAATGACTTTACTCAGTGCCCATTGCAACTTCACTGATATCTTTATTTTCTGAATGCCTATTTTTTCGTTACTATAAAAACCTATTAAATGTTTTTCGCCTAAAACGTATAATAAGTTTTTCGAAATACTTCCGAAAGACTTATTATACGCTTTGGCAAAATACTTATACTTTTTCGAAATACTTTAATAAATTTTTCGGAATAGTTAATTCGAAAAATTTACATGGGAAGCTAGATTCCCCAGAACTGGAGGAAAAGTTTTCTATTCTAGTAGCGTGTGTAAAATGTCGTGAAGTTTCAAGATTAAAAGGTTTATCTGCTTATTATGCTAATCCTCAAAATCCTTCAAATTTAATTGACACTTCCAACGGAACAAAATTCTTCAAATTTAATTGACACTTCCAACGGAAATAGGAAAACTTTAAATTCATTGGTTGTCACTAAAGAAACCTCTCTTCAAAAATATTTAAATTTTAATCCTTCGGTATTTTGCTCAAAGGTATCTGTCACAGTTGAAAATGTTTTTGAACTTTATGTTGATATTCTCGACACAATTAAGCCGTAATTAGACGGGTTTTAAAATAATGTATATATATATATAAAGAGCAAAAAATGATTTAACATTTTGAAAATATTACTTTATCAGAATAAAAAATTTCTTCTTTAATATTACGAGAACAGCATTTCATAATACATTTATACTTACTGAAAATAAATGTTTCCTAGTATAGCTAAAATTTACATTTGATTTGCAGCTACATAAAATAGAACTGAGTATATGTTGTCGCTTGTATCTCTTGCTATCTATGCTGAATTTTTTTATGTGATATGTTTATTTAGTTTATTCTTGTAATATTTTAATACTTTTTTTAAATATATGTATGCGTAATTATATATATACATTGAAAAGTCCCATCGTCGGGACTTTGGCCAGTCTGGAGAATAGATTTTTCCAGATAATAGGTCTCTAAAGTAGACATCATAACATCCTTATTTAATAAAAAATAGACAATAATTAACGTCAATTTCAGTCATGGGTGCAAGTCTTCCGTCCCCAGGACGGATTTCCGTCTTTTGAAAATGTCCGCGGACGGAAGTAAGACGGAAACAAGACTGACTCGAAGACGGAAATCGGAATTTTTTTTTTTTTCTGTCCATAAAAATATTTTTTTAGGTCTACGTTATTGGTCTACTTTCTTATGTCCTGTTGTTATTTTATCAAAAGACAGATGAATAAATATTTTTTGTGCAGTATTTAAACTTGATGTATTATGGTAAAGCTTTCTTAGATAGTTTGCATATGTCGAGGGGGTATCGTGTATGTTAGGTATTTCAGTCAAAAAATTTTCAGTCTTGGCCTTTTATCAAACTTGCACCCATGATATATATATAAAAAAGATATATATGTGATATAATTATATATATTTATTAATGTTTTACACATTTGTAACTGTTTTATGCAGCATTTTTCATCCTCTGTACATTTCCTTTTGGTTTTAATTATATTACATTATATTATTCGTTACATGTTATTAATTATGAAAATTATGTTATTTCCTTCTTTTTTTATGAGAATGGACCAAACTATTTATCTTTTCCTCTTTACTATGTGCTGAAATACTTTTCAAAACAAAACCATGCTGTTTCGTTTTTTGTAATCATTTTTTTAACTATCAGCTCTTATCNTTATTATTATTATATAATTCTTTATTGAATGAACTTTTATCTCAGAAATGGTGAAAGTAATAGAAAATAGGAAGGAGATAGTTTTAAAAGGAGGTAAATAATATATATATAAATAATATATATATATATATAAAAAGTGTTTAACACCAGGAAAACAAAAAAATTAAACGATATAATCTATTTATCAAATACTTATTTTGATGAAAATAAAGAGAAAACGCTTGCTTCTCAACATATAGATGTTTTTCTTTACTCTTTTCAATAAAAATTAAAACTGAAGCTCATATTGAAACTTTTCTATCTTGAATTGCAACTCTGATTTATTTTAAGTTTTGATCGGGAAAAAAGACAATGAATAAGACCTAAACGTCTGAAATTTATAATTAAATTCTAAATTTTCCGGCCGCGTGTAATTCGTAAAAAACTATTGAATCAATTAATTCCTTAAATTTTTACATTTTTCAAATTCTGATCCCATCATGCAGATTTTTCCCCAATACTATCAATATATACAGATCTCTTTTTTTGAATTTTTTTTTTAGTGTTTGAAGTTTTCTTTAACTTAACACCCAATTTAAAAAAACTGTCAGGTTTTTTCTCTCCAAATCCTGAACCATCTGCATTTTTTTCAGGGACTTTTATTTCTGTTTTTAAACTTTCTTGCCTAGAAATTCGATCAAAGCTGTAAAAATGATTAGCCGTACAATTTTGCATATAATTATAAGAATTATGAATTTGATTTTAGTGTGAAATCTTCATAAAAATAAAGTAAAAACGACGTAAAAAAATACAAATAATGTTAGATAAAAAGTTCATGTGTTCAAATTCAAAAATTTTGGAAAATCATGAATAATTTATTCATTAATTCAAATTTTATTTTCAAAACAGATTAAAAAGAAAACAATCTTTGTTTCTTGGTCAGATAACAGTTCAAAAAATGTCTCTTGTCTAAAAACTTCGAGATATTTTAATATAAACAACCTCTCCGGTCAATCACAACCTCTCTTTAACAAACCTCTCCGAACTATCACACAAAGCGTTGGATGAAAAACCTTAAGTTTTTATTTCATTCTTTTTTATTGTTTCAATTTGGTTGCTTGCTTAGCAGTGGAGAAAAATTAGGTATTGCTCTCTTGAATCAGTCTATGGTTATTTAAAATTACTCTTTCTGAGTCGGCGACATTGCTTGGCTGTTTTTATGTACTATCGCTAAATATACATATATAGTTTCCTAGCCCCCTCCAATTTAGTCCCTTAATTTTTTCTAAATTTTGTCTATTTTGAGGGTCAGAAAACCAAATATGTAAAAAAAAATTTAAGTTTATTCAAAGAAACAACTACGTTTTTGTGTCTGATTTCGTAACTTAATTAATAGTTAACACAAATTAATTACCATATTTGAAATCACCACCTGGAACTGCAAAAATTGACACTTATTACGTGAAAATTCGATCATTAGAGCGAAAGTTATTCAAGTTTATATCTTTTTTTTTGCGCCATGTACACACGCTTACTCTACGGGATATTCAGAAATACTAGAATATTCAGTGAAAAAAAGTAGTAGACATTCCTATTCCTCATAATTTAAGAAAATTATGCGTGTAATTTACATGTGGTGTCATCAAATCGCGTACACAAGGGAAGAGGGGAGAGAAAGAGAAAGACAATTGTCCCGGGGCCCGGCACGGTTGATATTCCGCCCAAAATTCTTTACAAGAAATTTAGCGTTTATAATTTTTTTTTCTTTATTATTATTATTTTTGTTTTTTAATAAAATGGCATATAAGCTTTTTTATTTATCTTGATATAAACTACAATTTTATATAACGGGTCTTATAAAACTCCACTATATGAGAAAATAAGGCTTTTTATGTATTGAGGCTGAACCCCGTAATAAACTTCGTCATTTTTAATTTTTTCATTATATATATATATATATATATATATATATATATATAAATACAGGAAAATACGTATATATATATATATATATATATATATATATATATATATATATATATATATATATATATATATATNGCCCTATATATATATATTCTAACCTTACCTAATAATATTTCTTACCATATATCTTCCATCATTTGTAGGTGTGAATCTTCATGCCTTGGTGCACAGATGAGCTATATTTCCAGATCAGCAGCCAGAACGTTCAGTTGTCTTGACCAGGGGTCAAATTGCTTACACTCCATCTACTGAAGCCTTCCTGGTCCCAGCATCTGAAAATATGTCGAATTTTCCAACAGATTCGCGGAGGCTGTTCGTTTTGCAACGCCCAAATGTCGAACATGTAGCTGCCATGCAAATGCTGCCATTGGCCACATACAGACCTGTGAACGCGTTGCCAGTTCTTTTTAACATGGGCAGCATGCAGCCAGTAATGGCACAGAATGTTCCTTTTAACCATAGCTTCATTCCTCCGGTTACTTCTGTTACGTCCTTACAAATAATGATAAGGGACTCGCAGATTCCTGTTTCGTCCAACAGCAACAATGAATCTGAGCTTCATTTACAGGTAAATTATTATTATTATTATTTTTTTATAGTAACAAACTCATTGCTGCATCTTTTCACGCTAGTACCTGTTAATTTTGTCAATATCCTCTAGACCTATAAATAACCACACGCCACGTGGCGAGTCAACAAAAGTAAGTGACGACTTAAATAAGCAACCGACTTAAAAAAGCAACTGGAAAAAAAACTCTCGAAAGCAGAATTTTCTTTAAAATGTTCAATACCCCCATTCAAAATTTTTATTCATCAGAATCGATCAATATGTAGCGAAAAGATTCAAGTAGAAAGAGAGTCCTTTAAAAATTCACAGATTTCCAAAGCTGTGATGTAAATATTAAATGTGCTTTGCCTCCCCAAATATGTTGACATAAAGTTCCTTAAAGTCAGTATGTTTAACTCAATTTTGTCATATATTTACATTATTTTTATTGTTGAATTATCTTTTTTTAGTCGTAGATAATTTCTAATGTGAGTTTGTTTTTTTGTTTCTTTTGAGAAATAAAATTCCGAAGAAATGCCATCACAATTTCGATCCTCTGCAGAGGGGATGGGCGCCCTGCTTTGGCAGCGTGACGACCTGCTTGCGAAGTCGAGCACTGTACGGTAGAACAGTTTAACGAGGAACATACCCTCGCATACCGCACACCCTCGGTGCTTACGCAGGCTGATCGAAGTGGTCACTCACCCACTTACTGTGATACTTGACTTTGGTGTTTTACTGGAACCGTGTCCTTACGATCTTTACCACTACGGGACACTGCTTTTTAACCTTGCCATTAGTGTTTTAAGCTCATGTTTAAAAACAGAGAAGCTAGCTAAAATTGTAGTTTGCCAGCCAAAAATAAATTGCAGTTTTTCGACAGAATTGAAGTATATTTGAAGTTATTCTACAGACAACTGTAGATTTTCTGCGGTGCAATCTTAACTGTAACGATACTTCAGTTATTTTGCAGCTAATGCGAAGTAATTTCTCAGAAAATTCTAAAAAAATTAGGTATTGTCTACTAAATTAGTGTAGTTTATGTATAGTCCCTATATCAGGGGTGGCGAACCTTTATACACCAACGTGCCATTTTTTCTAAAAAATTGTTTGATGAGGTCATAGACGTGCCGTCAAATAATTTTGACTTCGTGATTATTGGGAAAATATTAATACTAAATACTATCAACTCAAAACTCTTTATTTACAATGAAAAAAAAATTTGCACTGTCTCAGTTATACGCGTAATTCAACTTAAAGTAACATCAGTGTGACTTCTGTTGTTGCAGATTAGATGACAAATAACTTATATTAGGTTGTAAGATGTTAGTTTAAGCAGGTTTTTTTAATTTTTTTGCTAGTTATTTATTGTTAGCTTATTTTTTATGGTTATTAATTGTTTTATTAGCATTAATTGTTAATTTTTTATTAATAATTGTTTATTATTTTGTGTGTTTTTTTGTGAATTTTAATTTAATTGTTACATATGCTTCATAGTGTAATACCATTTGTGTAATAACAAATGTGATCGGTGGCGTGCCCGAAATATTGTGTCGGGTGCCATAAATGGCACGCGTGCCATTGTTTAGCCATCCCTGCCCTATATCATCATAAATTTTAAAAAAATGTTGAAATTTTAAATCTGTGGTTGTACTGCTATAAATTTCAAGTAATTAAACAGTCATTGTTTAAGAAATATATTTTCTGGTGTATCTGCAGAAAAACTACTGTTATTTTGTATTGTTGTAAAAGTGGGAGAGAGTCTTTTGGCAATTAATCAGATTGTGATATCTTCAATGTTGTTTTCCTTGTTAATAAATTTTAATTTTTTTTAACGTTTTTTTTCCTGATTATATATTAAGTTCTAACTATTAATTTATAAAATTTAGATAAAGATTCTAAACATGTATGTTAATTGGAGAGATAAAGAAAACAACTATATTTATAAAACAATTCATAAAATACATATTTGACTTAATTGTAATGTCTTATATTTAGAAGAATCAAGAAATTTCAAGTAAAATTTTTAGACAGTTTAATTATTGCTTGTAATTTTATGCTTTGTAATTTTATTATCAACTTTATTTTAACTTTATTTTATTACTAACTTTATTTTTATTAATTTATTATTTATTTATTTATTTTTGACTTAAAAAAGTTGTTTTTACACTAAATTATGGCGAAAACAATATTATAATAGAATGCAAGTAGTTAAAATTAATAAGTTTTTTTATTCGAATTAATACTAAGCGAATTAATCAAAGCCAAAACTATTTTAGAATAAAAATGAAGACGTCATTTTGTCTGTAATCAAAGTACATTTTTACTTTTAGTTTGAAACAACTTTTTATGAAAAGAGTTTACATATTTGAATTTGAAACTGGATATTTAATCCCAAATTTTTTAGCTTCACTGATAAAACTTTCCTTCATAAATTTATTAATTTCATTATTTTTTAAAATTCGTCTTAAACAAATTTAGATAATTAAAAACAATATACCTTTTTTATTGCTTAAAAATAAATCTTTTTAAATTAAACAAAAAATTTTGCTTGAAAGAATATGTTTCGTAGTATTTTCAAATGAACATAAATGGAGCAAAATTTTTAGAACTACTTGTTTTTAAAATTCCTTCCAAAAACTTAACAAAAAAATGACAAATCTAAAAGCTGAGATGAACACCGCAAGAGATGCCACTCTACTTTGTAAGAAATTTCGAGAAAAAATAACAATTCACAACGGTCAAATAACCATGTAAGAGAAAGTATTGAAACTGCTTTCAACGAGCAAAATAGTTTATTGACTGTTTTCACCTAATATGATTAAACAACCACGAATTTTAGCTGCACCAACTAGGCTCACCTCAAGAAGCCACTTAGTTGGATACATACTGTACACGAGTGGGCTAATCGGTCTATCTCACAGCAGACTGAATGGGGTTCGAATTCCAACGAAAACACCTCAATATTTCTTTAGCACATGGTAAGTCTCCAGTGTGCTGTACTTCCCAATTGATACCCATGAGTGCTTAATGCACCCCAAGTCAAACTTTTTGATGGTCCCATCAAAACTTTTTGATGGTTTATGTTGGCTTCAGGGAGATCCATGATGGTCCAACATCATTTAATGGACACCATCATCCAACATTTTCCATTATAAGTTCATGGTTTTTGACATGTCACCAAATTTCCATCATTCCGTGATGGAAAATGATACTTTAATGCTATGATGGTTAATCATCAAGAGAAGTTTGACTCTCATGAACCAACAATTCATGGTGGTCTGGGATGGTTCATGATGGTTCCAACTATATGATACTTTAATACTATGATGGTTAATCATCAAGAGAAGTTTGACTCTCATGAACCAACAATTATGGCGGTCTGGGATGGTTCATGATGGTTCCAACCATATGATACTTTAATACTATGATGGTTAATCATCAAGAGAAGTTTGACTCTCATGAATCAGCAATTCATGGTGGTCTGGGATGGTTCATGATGGTTCCAACTATATGATACTTTAATACTATGATGGTTAATCATCAAGAGAAGTTTGACTCTCATGAACCAACAATTCATGGTGGTCTGGGATGGTTCATGATGGTTCCAACTATGATACTTTAATACTATGATGGTTAATCATCAAGAGAAGTTTGACTCTCATGGACCAACAATTATGGTGGTCTGGGATGGTTCATGATGGTTCCAACTATACATTTCCCAGATGGTTTGATAGGATTATTTATTCTCAGCAATATACCATCAAAACAACTCGAATTTTTTATATTAGACCGTCATAAATCAGTTCAAATTCCTACATTGGGATGACGGTGGTTCATGATCGTACCAACACTTGATTTCTAAGAAACTATGATGGAAATTCGTGATGGTTCAATATGAACAAACCATCAAAACTAGTTGTTATTCTTCTATTGGACCATCATAAATCAGTCAGAATTCCTACATTTAGATGATGGTTATTTAGGTTGATTACAATAGAAAAATATAATGGTTTATTCTGGAGTTATTGATGGTTACCATCAAGATTGTGTTGGCCCATCAATGAAAAACCATCAAAAATTTTGACTTGGGACATCTGCTACAGCTGCGCAAGGCACGAAGTCTAGTGTTTCCCATCGCGCGTAATGAAAGGTACAACCCAATAATCTGATATCTTTGCATATTTACTGTAAAACTTTTGAAGTTGGTACTGCTGCAAAGTTACTACAGTTTACGAACTACTGTAATTTTGAAGTGTTATTTTGACCTCAAAAATTCTGTTGAGGAATCGTCAAAATGACCGCAGTCTTCAAACTTTATTTTTTTTTTAATATATAACTTTTCTGCAGTTTATTTTCAGCTGGGTTTTTTTTCTTTTCCGATCCACTGATAACCCTGATAATTAGTTAAATGTTGTACAGTAAAAAAAATTTATGCTGCTCTTTTAAACAAGTTTTAATGACTCTTCATTCCATTTAAGGGTTCATCTGAACATGTCCAATCCGAAAAAGCATCAACATCAACATTGGAATTCACAAGTATGAACGACTCCTGCACTCAGACCACTAATGAAATCTCATCTGATGAAGTCTCTCCTCTGCCATTGCCGATAACACAATCTAAACAAAAGGAACTTGTTGATAGTAATGAAACAGTGACTGAACAAACAGTGACAAGTGACGAAACAGTGACTGAAAAAGAACCAGTTCGTCATGAAATAAATTTCAAACTATCAAATAATATTCCTGAACCTTTGACTCTTGAAAGAAACCCTGAAAATTACCCCTCAACGAGTACTCAAAATGTCACCCAAGAGCAGTCAAACTCTGAAGTACAAGCTATTAATGTGAACTTAAGCGTAGATTTCAGCATGCTAAGTCCAATAATTGTGAAATATATCTCTGAAATTTTAAAGACTGACCAATCGGCGGAAACTGTCAATAAACTTTTACAGCCCGAGAATTCTGACCTGCTTAAAAATATCAAGTATGACACGACTGTGAAAGCACTCATAGCAAACGGAAAATTTATAGAGATGGACTCTGAATCAATGCTGAACGGAGAAAATGTTGCGTCTGAAATAAGTTTAGATGGTAATCAAAGTAGCAGTTCCTTAATTAAACAGTGTGAACAACAAGCAAAGTCAGGAGTCGAATTAACTGGATCAACGCTAAACAGAATAGATTCTGAAAAAATACGGAACGGAAGAAATGTTGCACTCGCAATACGTTCAGGTCTTAATCCGATTAGAAATTTTCTAAACCAGGAGGGTGAAGAAAATCTGAAGTCAAGAGTTGAAGCATTTGATACTGAATTAGCTTTCCAGAAAAGTTCGTCTGTTAACAATTCAAAAGGCTTAACTGAAGATTCACGTTCAAACTTATCTGCTACTGATTTGACATTTTCAAAAAAATCAAAATCGAAGACAAATCCGGATAAGTTATATAACTTCTTATCGAGTATAAACTCAAATCAAGATAATAGTTTGCCAAACTTCCAGGGTCAAAATAAGACATCAGTTACTAAAAACTCCTCATCAGCTATACACGAAAGCTGTTCCAGAAAGTGCACTAATGATCCTTTTAAAGATTCATCCTTTACTCAGATAAATGAATTAGATAGTTTGCATTCAAATGCTCAAAATATAGCTTATGATTTGACTTTTAAAGCGACAGAAAGGAAAACAAGTCTTCATCAATTTTCTACTTCTACATTCAAAAGGAGTCCAATTAAAATTACAAAATCAGTTAAGAGTTTCAGTAATAGAGAAGAAAATTACACTTCGACTCATTTTAATCACAAATCATCTCTAAAGTGTGAAAAAACATTGAAGCGTAAATCTGTATTTTCACCTGTTGCAAATAGTCATGAAGAAGTAGGTCCAGTTGGTGAATTCTGCTACGATTTATCTCTAACGTGTGACAAAGCAGTGGACTATAGTTCTGCACGCGTTGTTGTAAATGCTAATAAACAGAAAAGCCAGAATGTAGATACCTACCTGACTGCCAAGTTTAGCAACGATTCGTCTTTAACCCCTCCGTCTTCGTCCTCTGATTGCTTAATGGAGAGTCGGATAAATTCTCCATTTCCAGATGTTCTTCCGGATATAGTTCCAAGTAATGCTACCAAAGAACCGATACCAAAATTAAAAATAAAAAGGTTGAACGAAGCTGACATTCAGTCGTATTTTGAACCTTCAAAGAAATTTAAACCAAAGTGGAGAATAAACAGAGATAATACTGAAAGCTTATCTGTGTCTAAAAGTAAAAGTTCTCATGAAGTGGATGATGATATAGACCTAACATCTGCAGAGTCATCAAACGATGAGCCACCTAGGAATGTTAAAAAGCTTAAACTACGCAGGTCTAAGAGAAATAAAGACATCAAAAGTGGAAAAAAGTTACTGAATCCAGCCAAAGAGGCTACTTCGCCAATTTTGGAAAATCCGGGAAAACCTCAAAAAATTCCGGATGTTAATGAAGTGATGAACTGTGAAAAACTATGCTCATCAAATCTAGAACGTAATGTTGGGATGTCAATATCGTTACCCTCAGAGGATGTTTCGTTTTGTTCATTAACTTCACCGGAATCAACTTCATCCTACGATTTGCCTTTAAAAACTGTGACTGAAGAAACTAATAACCTGGATTGTTCCATTAAGCGAAAACGAGGGCGTCCCAAGAAAAAGGCATCACATCAAGCTAAAAATACGTCTTTAATGAATTCCGAAAATTTATGCTCACCAAATCCAGAACATAATGTTGGGGAGTCAATATCTTTACCCTCAGAGAATTTTTCGTTTTATTCATCAGCTTCGCCGGAATCAGCTTCATCCTATGATTTGCCTTTAAAAACTGCTACTGAAGAAACAGATAACCTGGATTGTTCCGTTAAGCGAAAAAGAATGCGTCCCAGGAAAAAGACTTCACAGCAAGCTAAAAATACGTCTTTAATGAATTGTGAAAATTTATGCTCACCAAATCCAGAACGTAGTGTTGGGGTGTCAATACCTTTACCCTCAGAGAATTTTTCGTTTTATTCATCAGCTTCGCCGGAATCAACTTCATCCTATGATTTGCCTTTAAAAACTGCTACTGAAGAAACAAATAACCTGGATTGTTCCGTTAAGCGAAAAAGAGGGCGTCCCAGGAAAAAGACATCCCAGCAAGCTAAAAATAAGTCTTTTATGAAATACAGACAACTCCAAAAATCCAACTCCAAGAACGATCCGATTCATTCACCTTCAGAAAATTTGAATACATGCGACCATCTTAAACTTAAAATCATTACGTTACCCATTGAAACAGTACACAGTTCCAGCAATGAATCAAATGGCACACTAAAACATAAATGTGGAATTATATCCGAGGAAAAGGACTCTGTAAAGAGTCATGCAACCCACACTATAAATGTCGCTTATCGTGAAACTCTTTCAATTGGCCCAATGCAGTGTGAACCAAAAGCTAAATCCATGCACAATGAACATTTTTGCAAGAATTTAATGAATATTCAAACTACCTCGAATTCTGGTAATATCTCTGATGATAATCAACTGAAAAGTAAATCTGTGAAAATCCCACCTATAATATACTTGAGTGACGATTCCACTAGCGATGAGTCTTGTGAAATTATCTCAAATCCTGATGCTCTCTCTTTTCATCAAGTGCAATGTAAATCTGAATCTACGCCAGATCAGAATGACCTTCCTGTTGTAACTATCACAAGTCCGAACGATGCCTCAATTGAGGAAATCCAACATACACAGGATGCTTCAAAATGTGGTGATTCTGAGAATAATAAAACACCTTTTGCAGAAATCTCAAGTACTAACATTGAAATTGACAGTATAAAGAAAAATCATCTTAAGCCTGAAACCATTACACCACCTGTTGCCACCATGCAGAGTTCTAACAATGCATCAAAGGACGAAAATGAATATGAAGTTAACTCCGAGCAAATGGATCCAATAGAGAATAGCACAATTCCCTCTGAAACTGGCGCAAATCACGACACTTTTTCAAAAATGCAGGATGAACCGCATGCTATATCTGCACAAAAGGATTTTCTTAACTCGTTCTCAATGCTTATTGAAACTGCCTCCGATTCTGATGATATCTCCATTGATAATCAACAAAAAAGTAAATCTCTAAAAATACCACCAATAATATACTTAGATGATGATACTACTACCGATTTGGAGAACTCAACTGATTTGGGGATAGAAAATCAGAATATTACGAATAAGAAAATACATTATGAAAATGTGGACGTTATAGAATCTTCCGATTTAAAAACTTTTCACAATTCAGGCAACAACATCCAAGATATTGATCTCGACAATTCACCAAATTTGAAGCAAGAAAATCAGAATACTACAAATAAGGAAATGCATTATGAAAGCATGGACGCTGTACAATTGTCTGATTTAATAACGTCACTCAATTCAGCCAACAACATCCAAGATTCTGATCTGAACAATTCAACAAACTTGAGTCAAGAAAATCAGAATGCTACAAATAAGAAAATGCATTATGAAAGCATGGACGTTGTAATATTATCTGATTCTGAAACATCACCCGATTCAGCCAACAACATCCAAGATACCAATCTGGACAATTCAACAAACTTGAGGCAAGAAAATCAGAATGCTAAAAATAAGAACACTCATTATGAAAGCATGGACGTTGTAATATTATCAGATTCTGAAACGTCACTCAATTCAGTCAACATCCAAATTAGTTCATCGGAAATCAATGACAATGATAAGCTTTCGTACAATGAAATTAATTCATCTATTCACAAAAAAGGCGGTATGCTTCCCCAGTCAAATAAGAATCTGTCACAACCCACGATTACTTCACCACCTTCAGTTGTTCAAGTCGCTCAAGACCCTAACTTACCTTTTGAAACACGAGTAAATACTGTCTTGAAAACAAAACGCAATGTGACAAAAAACAGAGCTAAACGTAACTCATCAAAAGCCATTGATGATAAAAAACTTCCTAAGAAGCAATATGAATTATCTATTCATAAAAGCAGCATAAAGCTTCCCTCTATAAATGCTGATCAAAAAACTTCCGCTCCTTCAACACTTGCTAACAGCACTATGAAAATGAAGCAAAATTCATCCAATAATGTTAAATATAACAGAGTTGAATCATCCATTCGTAAAAAACGTGTTACTTTTCCGCCTGCTAATAACGCCAAACCCCAATCATATCCCGCCTTTAATCCAACACCTGGGATTATCCCTGCAACTGCGCACCGATGCGTTGAAACCCAAACTGATAACGTAATGAAAATGCTGCACAAGTCAACTAGCAGTATTTTAAGTAATTCATTGAAATCCTCTGATAAAGTAATTGTAAAACAAAGTGAGCCATACGTCCATAAAAAAGCACCCATGCTTACAGTTAGAGCAAAACCGCACCGATGCGTTGAAACCCAAACTGATAACGTAATGAAAATGCTGCACAAGTCATCTAACAGTATTTTAAGTAATTCATTGAAATCCTCAGATAAAGTAATTGTAAAACAAAGTGAGCCATACGTCCATAAAAAAGCACCCATGCCTACAGTTAGAGCAAAACCGCACCGATGCGTTGAAACCCAAACTGATAACGTAATGAAAATGCTGCACAAGTCATCTAACAGTATTTTAAGCAATTCATTGAAATCCTCTGATAAAGTAATTGTAAAACAAAGTGAGTCATACGTCCATGAAAAAGCACCCATGCCTACAGTTAGAGAAAAACCTGCTAATCACTTGAAATCACCTTCAAAGCCGCGTAAGTCAAAGACTGGTGTTAGATCGGCAACTATGAATGAAATAATATTTTCTGATGCTGCCACTTGCGAAGAAAAATCAAAACGATTTTTTAAAAACAGAGCGAGAAATAACAAAGACAAGAGCGATAGTTGTGAATCTAACATGCCGATTTTATACCCTGAAATTACTAATGGCAATCCAAATGGTCCGCAGCATAATTTTGATGAAGTATCTTCACCTAACGAATCCACATTATCATTAGTAGCTTGTTTGGACCTCCAAGAATATTTTCCAAGATGTCCAACTATTTCATCTTGCCAGATTCCAACATCTTCTGAGTCTCCATCGCTTCGGCAAACTACAACTACCTTTGATGATTTACCAGCGCCTCTCTTAGCGGACCAGATTTCCGGAATTCATCAACGAAATGAAGATGAGTTAAGGGCGGAACTTTTAGGATCATGCTCACGGATAAATGAATCGATTCTTCCAAAAAAGTCGCCTAACTGCAATCCAGGTAGTAGCATTGATTCCAAAACAGAATTTCGTTTCGCAGTAGGAGTGAATGAGGAAACGGATAATGATAATGAAATCCACAGCTGCACCAGAAACATCGCTCAAAGTTCTCAAGAAAACAATCTATTTTCAAAGCAAATTAACACTTGTGCCAACTTCGACGGTGAAGATGCTTTGATGCCCAAACCAAAGCATGAGAATGAATCTGGAGATAATATACTTGCACCAAATGGAGATCCCAAGAAGAATGAAGCAACTATTGCCCCCAAAGGAACTTCTGATGACCTAGAACAAGAAATATCCCAGGTAACTAAAACTAATTTTAGTTTTATATATTCGTTTTTTCAATGTTCTATAAGAACATACATACATACATATATTCTAATAAGCCGTTTTACATTGCTTTTTATTTGTATAAAAATTTAACGAATACTATCAAATTTTAACGCGATTATTTCAATTTGCAAAAGTATCACTTTGATCACATGATCAGTAGCATTAGGTACTAGAACTAGAGCTGCACAATGGGCTATTGGCAACAGTTTGTGAAACATGCCTGAGGATGATCTTTAGACGAACCATCAAAATTTTGAACCTCCGCTGAGGGGATGGCTCCCCTACTTTGGTAATCAAACAACCTGCGCACGAAGTTGAGCACTTTTCAATAGTACAGTTTGATGAGACCCGATACAGTTAATTATAGTTACAGATAAGGATTTGCTATGTGGCGATCGTACGAGAAAAATATTTATTTCGCAATTTTTATGTGTATTTTTTTAACATCAAATATTTTATAAATTTGATGATAGTTCTCAATTTTGAGTGACTAGTTTGTCCTTTTTGAGACATTTTGCTGCAATATATTTAATTAGCTAGAGTAACGAAAGGTATAATAGCAGATGATAAAGCGAAGTAATAGACTGAAAAGGAATTCGCTGTTTGCGTTTGGCGAGCATTAAGGGTTGTTTCAGTTTCAAGCGCGGAGACGTTTCTCCTCTTACTTCCCGCTCTGATATGAACTCTTCGTCCGAGGATTTGGAGTCAAGTGCCAAATCTTGGTGAACGAACATACTCCTGGTGAATGAATATACCACACTATTTCGGTCCCTTCATAGGATGATCGAAGTGGTCAACCACCCGCACACTGACCGCAGCCAGTGACGCTTGAGTTCTACTGAGAACCTTGTTTTAACTACTAGTCTGTTATGGGACTATCACGAGATCAAAGATATCGCGCTATCTACTAGATTTCATCCTATTTTATTCAATTTTCTAAAAACAAGACTGAAGAAAAAAAATCAATTTTTTTTAAATTTTATTTAAAATATTAATTTGATGCGAAGAAGTTTTTTGTTATAGAAAAGAGAGTATCTTTCTATTCTTAAAAAAAAAGCACATCGTAATAATTTAGGATCATACTGTATTTACAATATTTTTATCTTTAATGGACATAAAATCATACTAACTGTACGAAACATGTGAAAGCCTTATTTGAATAGAAGTCCGATTTTACTGATTGAAAAAATATTAAAATAGCCATATTATAGTCCTGCAAGTCATATTTACCTTATTTTAAATCTAGCATACCTCCAGCTTATTCCTGTTGTAAAACACTGGTCAAAATAGGATCAGCCAAAATAGGATAAACAAAATAGTCATCATGTTTTGCATATTTAAATGGACAAGAGAAAGGAGTTATCCCACTATTCAAATAAAAATAGAATTAGAATAAAATTACAGTTATGATTTTATAACGGAAAGTGTTTGTTGTTATAATTTTAAACCTCGTTTTAATCAACAAAACTTTGCAGAATATACAACAACCTGCTAACTCTGAAAGATCGACGAAGCAACTCCAGTCGTCTTTGGAGTCGAAATCAAACAGTTGGCTTAACTCTAATTTTGGTAAATCTCGCTACCTTGTTAATTTTTTAATATGTTGCTATTATATAGTATATAATATATTCCGTGCCAGAAAATCAAGCAATAAGCTTGATTTTCTAGCACCCGATCATCTATTATCGATTCTACCCTCCCCGCCGATTATCGATTTCTTTCTCCCCAAATTGGTGACCCGGACGTGATGTGAACACGCTTACCAAGACAGAAACTCCCACTTCGATTTGAATAGGACGCCTACTTCGATGGATGGTCCATATTGAATAGTTGACTTGCTACTTGTAACTGCGACATTATCCACCTCTTCGCGCTGTTGCTACTTAATCTCGATCACACACAAAGTATACACTTCATGTACACACTCTACTGCTAATGGCAACACAAGAGGAACCGTGATCGTGAACGCTGTTGTTACTCAGTCTCGATCACGCATAACGTATATACTCCTCGTATACACTCTACTGCTGATGGCAACAGAAGAGTAACCATGATCGTGAACTTAATATAGTTCCCACGACCCGTACTCAAAAGCTCATTGTTCCTAATACAGTTCTCCCGGCCTCTCAGAAAACAGTAATGATTCAACTAGTGGTATCCAATCATAGTATAAAATTCCACTAAAATTTGCATCTATAAACACAATTTCAAAACTCGGGGATCCAATTTCACACTTTGTCAATTCAATAAAATTCTATACAAGAACATTAAGCCCATCATAATTCTCTATTCATAGCTCTATAAAGCATAATAATGTAGAAAAAAGTAATTTCACATTTCACACAAATCATTGAATCATTTAATCAAATATGAATATAGGATAAAAAGTGATTCATCTGCCACTATCTTCATATCAACCATTATTCAAAACACTTGTCATTAATTAATACATTAAAATAATTAGAAAATTTTACCAAACATTTATAGAACAAATAAAGTTTATAATTGGAAGATTTCGCAAATTTATATTAGCTTCCGAACGCACGTACGATTTCAAGTGATTGCGCATGCGTCAGTTCTGGTGATATGCACAAGTGCCCGTAAAAAATATCAAACTTACGTAAGTGTAAAATAAGAGATTTTGCAAAAATCCCCAAGTTAAAAACGCTATCGTAGTGGAATATCATTTTAACTTTGACCACAAAGCCGAAACAAACGTTTACAATGGATGTAAACTCTTTCTTTAAAGCTGCAGTATACGATTCTAAATGCTCTACGTAAAACTGCAGATCAGTGAGCAGAAAATATGGTAGATTATAGATTTTAATGAATTCAGCTATAAAGAATCCAGCTTATTATCATTAATAATAATAATAACAATATATTAAAAAATATTATTGAACTTCTATTGATTATTTAACTTGGCAAAATTGTTTAGTTAAAATAAATATAACTAGGAGGCTTCGCCCCCTGCTCGCTGGTGCTCGCCAACCCCCGGAACTGCTTTCGCAGTTCATTTCGGATTGCTTCGCAATCCGATGATCGCTTTACTCGCTCATTGGATACGTTCTTAACGTCTAGCTTTTGTATACTTATTTGAACACTGAAGTTCCGAAAACTTTTCACTGTAGAAAATTCTAAACCTGTGCATTTCAATATTAATTTGAAATTGCAAACAGTTCACATATTTTTCTTAATCACACTATTCTAAATTTCAGTTGTTGAGAAAAGTAACTGTTGTAAGTTTTGTTT